CCCAGCTGCTTGAGTGACAGCTGGCTCTGCCTATCTAGAGGCAGAGCCAGCTGTACCCGCCCCCTCCCCCGTCCGTTCTGCCAGTCAGCGCTGGCGGATCGGAGCGGGGAGGGGGGAATCCAGCCCCTCCCCCTGTCACGGCAGAGAGCCGTGACAGCATCAAGAGGTGAGCGAACGCCGGTATGTGTTCGCTCACCTCCTGATCTACTGAGCCGATGTGACAGTCTCATTGTCACAGGTGGGCTAGAACTATGAGGTGAGTGAAAAGCACTCACCTCATAGTTCTCCTTTAAAGTAAATCTACACTCATTTTATGGAGTTTTTGTCTAGGTGGTAAAATAAAAAGTTATGCTCACCCGATCCTCTAAAGCCTGCTCTTAGATCGGTCCCTGGGGCCTCTCTACCCCTCCATTGCAGCGGTCTAAGGACCCATGAGTCATCACATTCTATACAGTTAGGACACAGGGGGACATACCATTGCTGCAGTGTAGGTGAAGACAGGATTCCGGGAGCGCTGTGACAGCTGGCCAGCTCCGCCATTTGCCTTTCATACACTCTTTTATATCAGCATGTGTGGGAATAAACCTGCACAGTGCACACTGCTGTCATTAGCTTTAATGTAGTATTATATTGCCCATGTGTGTATTTCTGTTCATACTCCATCCCCTGTACAAGATTCCATAAGCTTGTGCTTGGAATGGAGACTCCAGTGATAAATACCCATACACATGCTTCCATGTTTGCTCCGACAGAACAGCGTACAGGTTTTCTAAGACTTGCTAAGCATTTCTTTGCTTAACCGGCCATTTTTTCACATTTACAGGAAAATGCTGCCAAACAACATGCTTAGTGCACGTTATCAGCACAGAAACCATACATGCAACATTTAGATGTTCATTGCACATGACAAAATAGTGTGCAATCAGCTACGTGGGCTCAGGGATCGCCATTGCTATGTGCGTGAGTAAATGTGACTGCTCATACAGGCCCACAATGCATGTTCAGCGTAGTCCTTACCTCTGCTCTTATCAGCTTGCTTTCGTCAATCATCTAGAATTTTAGAAGAATGCATTTTGTTGTTGGGTTTTTTTTTTTGTATAGAAGAACTATGTGCACTGTCCTTACCATCTTGTCTTGATTTGTATTGTGATTGTAATGTCTCCCTTATATTGTGAAGCGCTGCGCAAACCGTTGGCGCTATATAATAATAATAATAATAATAATGTGATTAAGTAAACTTGTCATAGAACAAATACAGGGTTTGCCATTGCTGAGCTACTTTTTCAAATGCTAGCTGCCTCATTGTTATGCTGCCCCTCTGGGTTTCGGTGTCACTAAACAAGTATGCGGATCATAAAAGTCAGAGTAAAGTCAAAGGTCTACACACATTCCATGGGTCACTAACCAAAAGTACTGTATGCAGCATTAGAACCACGCAGTTAGCATTTTAAGTATAACTTAACCTTCCCACAAACATTCCTTTGTCTATTCGGCAATGCCCACTGTAGGTGTATGGAATGTCTTTTTACAATCCCCAATATAGTAACTCCCCGTTATCCGGCATCCACAGGAATTGGTAGATTCCGAATAAATGAAGAAGTTTCTGGTTGCGTGAGAGGTACTATGAAAAATAGGTCTAACTATTGCCGTACCCCATAATATACCATACCCGTAATGTAAACTCTGTATTGACTTCATATTAAAACAGAACTATGAGGTGAGTGCTTTTCACTCACCTCATAGTTCTAGCCGACCTGTGACAATGAGACTATCACAGGTCGGCTCAGTAGATCGGGAGGTGAGCGAACACATACCGGCGTTCGCTCACCTCTCGATCCTGTCACGGCTCTCTGCCGTGACAGGGGAGGGGCTGGATTCCCCCCTCCCCGCTCCGATCTGCCAGCGCTGACTGGCGGAACGGACGGGGGAGGGGGCGGGTACAGCTGGCTCTGCCTCTAGATAGGCATAGCCAGCTGTCACTCACGCAGCTGGGCAGATCCCGGCATAATTGTCGGGATCCGCTTCAGCTGCGGCGTCTCAGTATACCGCGAGCTACAGCTCAGGGTGACGGGAGGACGCTAGTTTGTGTCCTCCTGTTACCCTAAGAACTATGGGGAAAAGTCCTAACCCCATAGTTCTCCTTTAATATTGAAATGCAGTAATCAAAAGCAAATGAAGACAAATAGACACACAATCATTTCCAGGATAATACATGCTGCAGATCAGCAAAACAGTGAGAACACTGATTTTTTTTTCTGGTTAGATGAGAGTTCTGGTTAGTTAAATACTGGATAATGGATCCTTTACTGTACTTACCTTTTTGTCTTTAGAAGTCCACACGCTCCTAAAGGCTACATTCACGCTGACGCTCCTAAAGGCTACATTCGCGCTGACGCTCCTAAAGGCTACATTTGCGCTGATGCTCCTGCATTTCTGGAAAGTTTAAACAACTTTTATGCTTCCCAGATCACAGTCTCTTGTATTTAGATGTTCCTGTTTGCCCGAGTTATACTCAGCCTCCTTTGGAGTTTCTAATTGGATCCTGTAAGCTCAGAATTCTATTGTCTCTATTAGAGCTGCAGCTAACGATTATTTTCAAAATCGATTAGTTAGCCGATTATTAAGTTCGATTAATCGGTTAATCGGATAAACAATAAAATACATTTTTAAAAATGGCTCCAGTGATGGGACTACTAGTTTGTATTGAGATTGCAGTCCATCACAGGAGCAAGCTTGGAGCGGTGGAAGTAAAAAAGAAAAAAAAAAATAGTGGTGTGCAATATAGTGTTACACAGCTAAACAAACGTTCTGCTTGCATGATACCATGAAAAATCATTTGATGAATTTATATACGCATTTAGAAATGTTTTTTTAAATACATGTAAACGCAGGTTTCATACTTCCGGAGCAACTGAGGCCTTGCCCTTCACATTCCTCTACTCAGCCACTTCCACTTAGGCATCGGTGAGTGCAGGTATTTCTCCAATGATGAGAACCGTCCTATTATGCCTTGGGCTCCCTGTGGACTCCAAGCTGCACATGATGGTTTGCCGTGGACCGGCAGATCATCTTGAAGTCCAAAAGTAGAGTGCACAGTAGGGTGACCCTGTTGTTCCTGCTTAAATCTCTGGGAATTTGAAAAGTTAAACCACTGCAAGGGTTAACTTTTATCTTGCTTGTTTTACCTAGGGAGCAAAAATAAAGATGCACTCAACTGAACCTCGATCCCGCCTGCTGCTAGACCGGTCCTTTCACCCTCGCCCCTCTGGTGATGAAATGTCCCTTGACGTCTTCACGTCTATTAAAAGAGAACTATGGGGAAAGTGTTTTTCCTCATACTTCTCTTTAGGGTCACGGGAGGACATATACTAAACGCCTCCCATGACCCAAAACTCAGTATATAGCGGGCTGTTGAACTCGATATACTGAGAGCGCCGCAGCCGGGACGGATCCCGACAATACTATCGAGATCCCCCCAGCTGCATGAGCGACAGCTGGCTCTGGCTATCTAGAGTCAGAGCCAGCTGTGCCCGCCCCCTCCCCTGTTCGTTCCCCCAGTCAGCGCTGGCAGATCGGAGAGGGGAGGGGGGACTACCTGCAGGGAGTGGTGACTGACACTCACTGCTCTCTGCAGGGAGACGATCGGGAAGTGAGCGGATCGGTGCATGTTTCTGCTCTAACTATGAGGATGAGTGGAAATCACTCACCTCATAGTTCTCCTTTAAACTGTATTAGATTTGAAGACATCACAGATCCTTAGACTGCCAGATCCTGGGAGAGAAGAGGATGCAAGGACTGGTCTAGCAGCCAGACAGGATTGAGGATCAGACAAGTATATCTTTGTTATTATTGCTGCGGCCCCCCAGCTGTGGTGGAACTACAAATCCCATGAGGCTTTGCAAGATTCTCACAGCCACAGACATGACTACCGGAAAGAGATGCTTCATGGGATTTGTAGTTTCACCACAGCTGGAGGGCCGCAGTTTGGCCATCCCTGTTCTTAGCAATTGTATTCTGACAGCGATGGATGTGCTTATGATTGGCTGCAGTCACTGTTTGAACAAGAATGTTGAGACTGGCTCCATCAGCAAATGTCAACTGAATAATCGACTATGGTCAAAATGAGGGGGTCAGCTGTGGACAAAATTCGAGCAGCGTATAGCTAGCTTTAACCACTTGCCGTCCGGCCGTAGTAAAAAAACGGACGGACGGCACTGTTGTCAACTGGTTAAGGAGTTGCTCAGAGAGTGTTGTCACCCTACAACAGGCAGATAACAAACTGGCAAGATCGCCAAGTTACAAAAACAGACTGAGGGCTTGTTCACACCAGCAGCTGTGCTCAACCGCATGGCTGCTGGTGTGCGTGTGCCCGGGCGGTGTGGATGCGCTTGATCAAGCCACATCGCACTGTTTTTTGTTGTTAGAACTTTATTAAAATGTCACAAGTGACATTTCATTAAGTTCTTTGGGCTCAATGCGATGTGATGTGGTTGTACCGCGTCTCACAGCAGTGCGCTTAAAAAAACGGTACTGCATTCCATACTTTTTTAAACGCACACCACCAGAATGCGGTGATGTAAGCTGTGCCCACCTGTGACAAGGCAGATTGCCTTGTCCTGGGTTCAGGCTGCACTGGAAAAAAAACAAAAGCAGCCCTAATGCGGGGGAACTGGCCCTCAGTGACTGCTGGAACCTGTGGAGGGTTAGCTACAATTTGAGGAGTTTTTATTTTTAGGGTTACTTCCACTTTAAGTAAAAAGAGGTCATCAATGGCAGCCTGCACTTTTATGACAGGTTCCCTCTAATCTTGCCGTTTAAAATTGGAGGAAAAGATCTAACATAACAAACAGAAAACACACAATTTTGTTTACCAAAACACAGACAAGAAAGTAGTAAACAAACAATGTGTCATATTGCCATGCTGTATGAGCCAAGGATGAGATTGTATACATGATGTACTAAGCTCATACTACAGGCATGTACCCCCAGATTGTCAGTACCTTGTACAATCAGCTCCGTGTGTCCTCCCTCGGATAGCTTCCTGTGCAGTATGACAGGTTTCCTCCTAACGAAATTCCAGCCTGAGAAGCAGAAGATCCTCCCCCTTCTAAGTCCAAATACCGGTGTCACACAGCACAGAATACATGGGTGCCAGGCGCAGAATATACTACAGGCTCGTCCTCACAGGGCAGAGGAGGGGGAGGCGATCACTGCATGCAGCCTGTAGAAGATGGCTGTGCTCAGCACACAGATGATCTCAGTGCAGGAAAGGAGCAATCACTGAGCATCAGCCAGACCTGCACGAAGAGCAGCACCACTGACATCTCAGCCCTTCCCTCTTGTTATGACAGTTGGCAACAACCACGCCCCTTGCTGGCCCCGGGCTGTCATTGGTGAGGGTGGTCCTGTGGGCGGGGCTGTCATTTGGCTGTTACAGGCAGCCTTCTAGTGTAGAGGTGAAGTTTTGTGGTTTCCTTCTTCACAGATGAAGAAAGTGTGTCACTTCGAATGAAGTCACTGATATTTCCACTGACAGAACCTCCATGTTGTCTTTGTGGTAAAGGCCAGCAACACCCTAGTTCAATGATGCACGTATTACCTCACCTAAAGAAGTATTCAACTCTCAGACTATTTCTTCTATAATTCATCCAGATCAAACCAATATACATTGCCCAGCAAATGATTTCTATACATGTTTCCCCCAAACACTTACAGTCATCATGTTTTTTCCAAACAGCTCCAACTCTCTCAACTCCACTTCCCTGAACTTCCTATCCAGTACAAGATCACCAGGGACAGCACAGTCTTCAGATAAGTGTTGGGGAGCTCTATCGCTGTGATAAGTGTTGGGGAGCTCTATCGCTGTGATAAGTGTTGGGGAGCTCTATCGTCCGTGATAAGTGTTGGGGAGCTCTATCGCTGTGATAAGTGTTGGGGAGCTCTATCGCCGTGATAAGTGTTGGGGAACTTTATTGCTGTGATAAGTGTTGTGAAAAGTCCCCTAGGTTTTTCACCACCTCAGACAAGGTGATAGAGGCATTTTTTGGTGAAACACTGAGAAAAACACCAGGAAGTGATCATTTTACACGTGTTCAGGGATAATTGCAGGATTGCTGCTCATGCTGTAGTGCATCCAATATGGCGTTTGGCAACACATTACTCCTCACTGTCTTCACTCATTATCACCTCTAAGACTTTTTTTTTTTTTTTTAAGGTGCATTAGTTTTGAAAGTTTTTGCAACTTGCAGCTGCTGATCAAATTCACTTGCTGTCCTTTTAGGCCCCGTTCACACCTGAGAGTTTTGGGAAAATGCACACAGAAAAATACGCACTTTGACACGCATATGCAAAAACAAGCCAAAAATGCAAAACGTGCTTGCCGTGCCACTACAGTTAATGGCACCGCAAACACAGCCAGGAAGATACACATCTTTCCTCCACATTTGCGTGCATTGAAACGTGCACAAACACAGATGAATAGTGCAGAACGCATGTCACAAATTTGGCTACATGCTCTACTTTTCTGCTTTTGTTAAAATGAATGGGGACGCATGGCAAACACAGAAAACAAACACACACAAATGTGACTCAGGTTCACGCTACGCTCAAGTGTGAATGGGGCCTCACACCAGCGAATGAGCATAAAGGTGCCCATACACTGCACGATTCTCGTATGAGAATCGTGGGAAATCCCGCAATCGTACGAGAATCGTGCAGTGTATGGAAGGCGTGGGACCGTTTCTACTGTACGGTTGCACGTCTTCTGTCGAACCAACATGCTGTTTCTCGGCGAGTTAGTGGCCTGCTTGTTCGACAACTGCCGAACGGGCCGGTGTGCACACGCGCACACTGCCCGTTTGCAGTCATCGTAAGCCCGCTCCTCATTACAGTCATCGGAAGCCCGCCCCTCAGGGGGGCGGGATTGCGATGATCACAAGTACGATCTGCTTGTCCAAGATGGGCAGACCGTACGTTTTTTTAAGTACTTTACAGTAAAGTGTATGGCCACCTTTATAGTGTGTCTAATATGCAGGTGTACATTGTGCATTTGAAATGCATTGTGACAACACATTGCAGTGCTCATTCACACAAGCCAGGTGGGGGTGGTACGATGTGTTACAACGCACCACACTGTTTACTTTTATTTTAAACTTTATTGAAGTGACACAAAATGACACCTCATTTAACGTTGCACCACAGTGCATTGCAGTGGAATGCAGTGAGGTGCATTGTGATGTGCAAAAATTCAGAAATGCTGCATTTTTACACAACACATATCAATGCATTGTCTTGGTGTGAACAGGATACACAGAATACAATTGTTTTCTGTTTGTACGTGTGTTGAGCCTGCATTGGACATGGTGTGAATAAGCCCAGTTAACAAAAACCATTCTATGCAACATGCTGCCGTGTGTTGTAACGTGCTGTCGTGGGTTGTGTTGCATAAAAATGCTGGCATTCTGCATTTTTATGCACAATACATCAACACACTTTCATGGTGTGAAAAGCGCACCTAGAGGACAGTTGTTTCCTCTGTGTCCTTGCATTGAGCCTGTGTTGATCTAGCTGATCAATGCAATCCAATGCACCTGGTGTCAGCAAGCCCTTAGTTTTATGACTGCGGAGGTTAAGGCAAGGCTCACACTATTTTCCTGACTAGATCTGGAACGCATTTCATTGCGTTTTTGAATGACAACCGTCTCCCAGTCGTGCTCATGTGTTGTCACACTCCTGATTGAGACTAGAAGTGGTTCTGCCTACACCTATGACACTGCCTATCATTGCTACTACATCACCAGTCCAGAGCAGTTCACTGATGCTGGACTGAGTGCATGTGGACTGTGAATCTTAGGAGAAAGTTGTGTGAATCCTAGGTGAACAGATTAAGCGATATGTATTCCAGAATCCTGCTGCACTCCTTGCCGGGTATCCCTGTCCGCGTGGGTGCTCGAAGTGACCGCGGATGGCCCCGCCAATAATGAAACTTGTTAAAGATGTCACCAGCACACCATATGTAAAGTGAAGAACGTGTCTGTTTACTGACGCTTTATGTCATGACGAATAACATTATAGGGCCACACAGGGTCCCCTTCATCAATGACAACACAGCTAAAGAAATACCTACCGTGTTTCCCCGAAAATAAGACACTGTCTTATATTTTTTTTGGCTCAAAAAAACACCCTAGGTCTTATTTTCGGGGTAGGTCTTATTTTTATTTTTTAATGTATAACAATCCAAAGTTATTGCAAATCCAAATTAAATAATCCCAAATGGCAAAGTTAAGAATGGGGTAAACAGGGCAATCATTGGCACCGCTGATTCTCTCCCACGGCTCTTTAGGTTCCCCCTTATGCCACCACCAGCCCTGGCAATGGTCACAACTAGGTCTTATTTTTGGGGTAGGTCTTATATTTTAGCAATTCCCAAAAATAGTACTAGGTCTTATTTTCGGGGTAGGTCTTATTTTCAGGGAAACAGGGTATCTTATATAGCTAAATTAATGAAATAAAGCCATACCGTGCAGACAAATGAGCGCCAAAACCGATTCCAACCGCTCGCCATGAGTACAGCAGCCGGTTGTCATGGTTACATGTCAAATAACCCACAGATGTGCAGTGAGCCGGTCTCATGTTTCGTCATGTGCCAAGTAAGACCTGATTGGTTGTTGGGAGCTATCGCCAACCAATCAGGTCTTATCTAGTGGGGCATGAAGTGTCAATAAACAGACATGTTCTTTACTTTAACCCCTTCATAAATTAGGCCTTTTTTTCATTTTTTGCACCCATGTTATATTCCACATTTTAGGCCTGAAAATGACTTAAAACCCCCAAACATTATATATTTTCTGAATGCCAAGACCCTATAGAATAAAATGGTGGTAGTTGCAAATTTTTATGTTGCGCAATATTAGCGCAACTCCTTATTAAACCCCAACATTTAGTGAAAAATGTAATTAAATGCCCCAAAAGACTACAAAATACCAATTTTTTTAATGAAATATAAAAGTTGAGGTTACAACGAGTAAAACAATACCCAACATGCCCAGGTTACAAATTGCGTGCGTCCGTGAAATGGCGAAAAACTGCTGTACCCCCAAAAAGTCCATAGAAGACGCCTTAAAAGCCCCCACAAGTCAATTTAGAGATACCCCAAAATACTGGCCCTAGAATTATTGCTCTCACTCTGGCGTGCGCGGCGATAGCCAACATGTGTAGCGCGTTCGTCGTTTTCATACGTAGGCGCACCCAACGTGTGTTTACGTGGCGACGCGCGTGCTCACGGGGGCGGGGGACTTTAAAACATTTTTACAAATTATTATTAGATTTATTTTATTTTATTGTAATTTTAAAAACTTTTTTTTTTACTTTACTTTGACTGCTATCACATAGGGGGGCTTACAAGCCCCCCCATGTGATAGCAGATGGTGGTGACAGGTACTCTTTAAGGTTATGCTGGCGGTCCAAAAGACCCCCAGTGTCACCTTTACACTGGAAATAAGCTATTGAAGTGCAGATCGCACATCAATAGCTTATAGCTGGGCTGCAGGAGCCCAGAACTGACAGACCAGGGACCGGAAGTGATGCAATCTGCATCGCTCCCGGTCCCATAGAACGGGGAGGGGGTCGATGAACGGAAGTTCATCGACCTCCCAAGGAAGCCGGTCCTGTTTAAACAGCCCCGATGCTGGCGACGTACACTGTACGTCGTCAGTCACGAAGGGGTTAAATATGGTGTGCTGGTGACATCTTTAACAAGTTTCAGATTGAGCGATAGACCCCTAAATGTCATATAGTTAGGGATTTAAACCTGAACCTTAATTGAATACCATTTAGTTTGACAAAGCACTGTGTACCATAAACATTTGAAACTTTTTTCGCATGTTTTTAATCCTTGTTACATCTCAATGTTGTGGATCTCCTGCTGCCTCTTTGCAGCTGCATCCTGTGTATGTGCATGCATTGCAATGATGGCTGCATGACGTTCCTCAGGGCAAGTTGCCTGATGGTGACAATGGATTGTGTCTGCATATAAGGCGACTTGAAATGGTAGTTTATAGTCAGGGGGTGTCCCTAGATGTCTCCCTGTCTGAGGCCGGTGAAGTGACGGGTTTAGGTACTGTGTGGTGGACCTTCTAGTTTCTGTAGGGGGGCTTTGTGGTGCACAGCGTCCCCCCCAGTTCACTGATGCCACTGTTTGCCAGAAGCTGGCAAGTAGGCTAGCCATAGCTTCCCCCTCAGCTCTTGCCAACCAGTGAAATTAGTGAGTTAAGCGGGATGTCGGCCAGAGCGTCACAGGTTGTTAGAGCTTAGCAACCTGGGAAACTCTGGCCAGAAACGTTACCCAATAACATGCCACCTGCGGCAATTGGCTTAGGTGGGCTCATTATAGGGACGGCCCTGCTTGTAGTCTCCACTTGGTAAGAGCTTTCCATTGAATAAGGACGGTTTAGCAATGTTATGTTCCCAAAAGATGCGGCCAGCAGCCTGCCTGAATATACTGAATGACCACGTTTATTTATCAATGGATTTTTTCTTCCCTGATGGCAAGGGATTTATCGGGCTCAGATTGTAAAAGAGTGGTTCAGGGAGCATGAGACATCATGGATTGGCCACCACAAAGTCCAGACCTTAACTCCATTGAGAATCTTTGGGATATGCTGCAGAAGACTTTACTCAGTGGTCTGACTCTCCCATCATCACTACAAGATCTTGGGGGAAAATGAATGTCTCTAGAGGGAACTAAATGTTGTGACATTGCAATAGCTTATCGAAATGATGCCACAGCAAATGTGTGCCGTAATCAAAGCTAAAAGGTAGCCCAAAGATTTATTAGAGTATGTGACTTTTTTTGGCCAGGCAGTGTATATATAGCCTGTTATAGAGAAAGACAATTGTGAACAAGGACATCACAATCTACATCACTTCCAACAAAATGTAAAAACTTTATTACAAAGATTTTGGCAAATGTATTACACAACATGTAACCACCCTCCCCTTTAAAACGGACAACGTTGTCTAAAAAAGAAATCCACCCAAACAGGGGCGTCCCGAGGGTCTCCTCCCCCGGGTGACACCCTGCCGTGACATCATCGCGCATGTGCGTGATGTTGGCATGTGTGCGCAATGATGTCATCGCGCATGTGTGGTGGCCTTATTGACGCCTGCCGGCAGCCATCTTTGTTATGGGGAGAGGAGGTATATCTCGGGTCCCCTCCTCTCTCCTGACACTGTCTGGCTCTCGTTCCGTAACCAAGTGCCTGACTTTTCATAGGGGGTGACACCAAAATGACTGCCAGTCATTTTGGTGCCACACCTCCAATGGTGTCACCCTGGTGTGCCCCCCCCCTCCTTGTCCCCTTATCTCTGAGCCTGACGAAGGGGACCCTGTGCGGCCCCGAAAGCACTTGCTAATGGGAGACAGCATCTGTCAATAAATGAGCATCTAACTGCTGTTATCATCGTGTGTGGAGTGCTGGTGACACCTTTCTTTTTTGCACCCCTCTTGTGACACCACTGCACCCAAGCGACCAACCCCTTCCTAACCCCCACTCAAGCTAGACTGTGAATAATATAAACTGCTGAAAATAAATCAGCAATAAATACATTATACTGTATATAGTAAAAAAACAAAAAGCAATGAGCGGTGATAAACAGTTTTCTGAAAGTGCGATGCTATAGGTTTTCCCAAACAGTTTTCCCAAAATGATGTCCAAAAATATCAAGAAAGCCACTTCGCCATCCTGGATTGGCTTTCACAGCTGTTTACTTTTCAAAAAGTCACAAATGTGGTCAATGATGACAACTGAATTGAATGTCCCAGGTAAAAGGTAACTGCTCTACCCGAAACTAGAATGCAGAACGTTGCATATAGAGTAGGGTTGCCACCTGTCCAGGATTCACCCGGACAGTCCGGGTTTTGAATGCTGTGTCCGGGTTTAATGGCAGCACAAACCCGGACATAAGATGCCGGGCAGACAGGGGCAACCAAAATGAAGATAGGGGCTACTGGCCCCCCACTAAAACTAGTCTCGACTGTGATATTGCCATATTTATGGGTGGCACTATTTACATATGAATAAGCCGCCATTCTTCCAAAAACATTTCCATGTGTCGCTAGAGTGTTTGGGTTTTGATGGCAGAAAAGGTGGCAACCCTAATATAGAGATGTATTCCTTGGGGAAGCTTTTCCTGTGCAATTCACGTACAGGTGATTGAAACTAACAGATAATACCAGAGATTGGGGGTCCGCCCTGAATTGAAATATAGGAAATTATAAGCATAAAAATTAGGGATGCACAGATACCAGGCATCTTGTCAAGTAAAAATGTACACAACATGCATGCAAAATATGCTGAACAAGTGCGTACAAACGTGCAAAAACGATGCCGCTAGGGTTGCCACTTTTTCTTCAAGCGAAACCCGAACACTTTAGCGCTGCTTCATCAGCTTATTTAGGGTATCTAGGTGACATTAGGGGTCTGAAAGACCCCTGATATCTCCATATAGAGGACCTGTCATGTCCTAATTGCTATTACATATGTGATAGCAATAAAGTTAAGTGTAAAAAAAAAAGTAACATATCAAAAAAGTTCAATTTTTTTTTTTAAAGTCCCCACGTACACGCACATACAAACGCAAACACGTGTCAGGTGCGCCCAAGTGCAAAAACAACATTTGCCCCACACATTACATATCGCCGTGAATGTCAGAGTGAGAACAATCATTTTAGAGCCACCAATCACTGTTAACACTAAACTGATGAGCAGTAAAAGCTTTTAAAGCGTCGCCTATGGACAATTTGGGATATTGTACTTTTTGGGGGTTTCATGGACGCACGCAATTTTAAGCTTTGACATGTTTGGTATCTAATTACCCGACATGACCCCATCTTTTATATTTGTGACCACAAAATTGGGTATTATATTCCGTTTCTATGCACTATATTTCATTTTAGTGTATTTTATCCTCAAATTACTAGTTTGATAAACATTTGTGCAAATACCATGCAACATAAAAAATTTCAACTACCATTTTTTATTCTACAGGGCCTCTGCTGTCAGAAAATATATATGGTTTTGGGGTTTTAAGCTGTTTTCTAGCCGAAATTCAGATTTTATTATGTGTGTGCAAATCGTAAGAAAATGCTCCGGCCAGGAAACGGTTAATGTCCCTCATGTCAAAAAACCCATGGATTTCAGCAGTTTGTGACTTTTTCAGACACTTTGAAGAGAATGTATTAAAACTGGAGCAGACAAAATCTGGAGCAGTTGCCCATGGCAACCAATCAGCTTCTCTCTTCAGTTTGTTAAGATTTGAAAATGAATTATAGAAGCTGATTGGTTAACGGGCACAACTGCTCCAGATTTTGTCTGCTCCAGGTTTCATAAATTACCCTCTGTGTGCTTTGGCCCATTTACAAGTTCTGCAGTGTATGGCTCTACATCAGGGACACAAGATGTCACTCCTCACTCTCTCCCCTGGCTGTCTCTCCTCACTCTCTCCCCTGGCTGTCTCTTCTCTCCTCGCTCTCTCCCCCTGGCTGTCTCTCCTCGCTGTCTCTCCTGTCTGTCTCTCCTCCCTCTCCCCTAGCTTATCCTCCTGGCTGTCTTGCCTCACTCTCTCCCCTAGCTGTCTCTTCTCTCCTCGCTCTCTCCCCCTGACTGTCTCTCCTCCCTCTCTCCCCTGGCTGACTCTCCTCCCTCTCTCCCCTGGCTGTCTCTCCTCCCTCTCTCCCCTGGCTTTTCCTCCTCACTCTCTCCCCTAGCTTTGCCTGGCTCTCTCCCCTGGCTATCTCTCCTCCCTCTCTCCCCTTGCTGTCTCTCCTCCCTCTCTCCTGTCTGTCTCTCCTTACTCTCCCCTAGCTTATCCTCCTGGCTGTCTCTCCTCCCTCTCTCCCCTGGCTGTCTCTCCTCCCTCTCTCCTGTCTGTCTCTCCTCACTCTCCCCCAGCTTATCCTCCTGGCTGTCTCTCCTCGCTCTCTCCCCTGGCTATCTCTCCTCCCTCTCTCCCCTGGCTATCTCTCCTCCCTCTCTCCCCTGGCTGTCTCTCCTCCCTCTCTCCCCTGGCTGTCTCTCCTCCCTCTCTCCCCTAGCTTATCCTCCTGGCTGTCTCTCCTCGCTATCTCTCCTCCCTCTCTCCGGTCTGTCTCTCCTCACTCTCCCCTAGCTGTCTCTCCTCCCTCCCTCCCCTCGCTGTCTCTCCTCCCTCTCTCCCCCAGCTTATCCTCCTGGCTGTCTCTCCTCGCTCTCTCCCCTGGCTATCTCTCCTCCCTCTCTCCCCTGGCTATCTCTCCTCTAATGTGGCAACCCTTATCGCTATGTGTGTTGTAAACCAGTCACTGCTCCAAGCTCGCTCCCGTGATGAACTACAATCTCAATATAAATTAGTAAACTAAACATGTGTTTGTAGTCTATGGCAGGAGTGAGCTTGGAGCGGTGACTACTTTACAACACACACAGGGACAATATGGGGAAAAGTAGCCCCCCTCCAGAAGGAAGGATGGTACCAGCACCAAGTCAGAGATGATTTGAGGATCTACAGCTGACTGATACACGAATAAGATACATTTTTGTTAATAGTTTAGGTACTTGAAACAATTTAATACACACCAGGACTAACATGAATAGACACCAACCTATTAGTCCACGAATAGGTTGAGTAAACAAAAAAAAAATGCCAACACGGAGCAAGTATACAAACTCCATGCAAATTGTATTGAAGGTAAACACAGAAGCCAGTGCTGTAATCAATTCTGATAGGCTGTGAACATGTGATTAAAAACGTTCACCGTACCAATTGCCAAATGCACAATTGGTTCCCTTATAATAGCAGCTGTTCTTTTTAGATACAGCTTCTCTGTGAAGCTTATTTATCATTAGTACAACCTCTATTCATGCACAGATTACAGAGTTCATTATATGCTGTCTGTCTGTGCGGGGTGTCAATAAAGTTTTGTTCGAGAAAAAAAGACCCGAAGAGAAGTGAAGCCAGTTCGTCATTGTGCTGCGACTTCCTGCAGTGCCTGCTGTCAATGTCAGCCTGTGTATAGAGCTCAGGAGCTGCAGGAACTCCATTCATCAGAAATGCTGAGGTCCCGGCTCAGGTATGCTGCGTTACATGGCGCTCTGTGTGCCTGGAGCATGAATAAAACATGTTATTTCCATTGTTCCTCAATCATCATTTCTAGTGATAATTGGTTTGTGCTAGGAGCTTGTAGATGAAGGCATTTCATATAATCATGTCTTACCTGGTAGAGTGAAGGCCAGCTGCAGACTAAACCTTTGTTTTACATAGTGAAGGGATACAAGCTCCCTGGTTATTTAATGCTGTCTTTGTCACTATTAGTGATATGAGGGGGCTTCCTCCAAACTACTGTGACTGACACCCCCTTCTCCTCCCAGCCTGCAGCTGCACATCACAAAGGGGTGGAAAGACCCCTGCTTCAACTGATTGGCTCAGGAAGAGGGTTTTGTGTCAGCTTTCTGCAGCCTTTGGCCAATTAAAGGAGAACTATGGGGATAGGGCTTTTCCCCATAGTTCTCCTTAGGGTAACAGGAGGACACAAACTAGCGTCCTCCCGTCACCCTAAGCTCAGTATACCGTGAGCTACAGCTAGTGGTATACTGAGACGCAGCAGCTGAAACGGATCCCGCCAATTATGTCTGGATCCGCCCAGCTAGAGGCCAGCTGTACCCGCCCCGTCCGTTCCGCCAGTCAGCGCAGGAGGATCGGAGGGGGGAATCCAGCCACTCCCCTGTCACGGCAGAGAGCTGTGACAGGATCGAGAAGTGAGCGAACGGCGCTATGTATTCGCTCACCTCCCGATCTAGTGAGCTGACCTGTGACAGTCTCATTGTCACAGGTCGGCTAGAACTATGTCAGTGAAAAGCACTCACCTCATAGTTCTCCTTTAACTTTAATTGGAGTGTACACTAGAGATGAGACTGGACTTGGTGTGAGCTTAGTTCGCCTGTGTTCACCCAAGTCTGCTCAAAACTGTGACCGCCACCCCCTCCTCTTGACCCAATCAATGGTGGCATTTGCGGCAGGGCATTCCCCGCCCCTTTGTGACTTGTGGCTGTGTCACTCCACAAGTGATTGGGTCAGGAGGAGAGGGTAGCAGTCACAGTTTTGAACTGGATTTGCACCAAGCCCAGCCTCGTCACTAGTGTACATTCATAGCTCTATATGGCAACGCTTTTCACTATGCTGCGGTGGCCTCTGGTGGCAACCCGTGAGCTGCAGAAAAATGTGGTAGCCTACCACACTGCACATCACACCTGCATTGTGCCGCTGCGGGGAAGGACAGGTGCTGCGTGTGATTTGTACGCAGCAACCTGTTCTTCTCTGTGGGAGTTCGCGGCCATATGCCGCCCTACGCTCACCTGAGCTGCAAGTCCGTGCGGGTGTCCGTACTCGTGACAGGATGGATCCTGTCTGCGTCCGAGCAGGAACACCCATACAGACATGCAGTTCGGGTGAGCGTACGGCTGCGTATTCCCATAGAGAAGAACAGGCTGCGTACAAATCACACGCAGCACCTGTCCTTCCCGGAAGCTGCCCCATACGGCCATGCACGCAGCACGGATCTGTACGGCCAGCTGTTTGTCGTGTGATTGAGGGCTTACTGAGCTGCCTGTCTGGCTACTGGGTCTGTCACACAAATAGGTGCAGCGGGCGAGCTTCTTCAGTGCTGTGCAACAGTACATAATCAGCATCACAGTGCTGCTGGCCATCAGTGAGCACAGTGCTGCTGGCCATTGTGCCCATCTATGTGACAGGCCCAGTAGCTGGGCAGAGACTTTTATGTAATGATGCTGAGCCAATTTCAACAGGCTCTGCATCACTCAGATGGCTGCCTGTCTGCGTGTGTAGCTTAAAAGTGTGCTGGGGAGCCCTTTTGTACTGTTGTATAATGCACCTTTTCCTTTTTGCTAATTTCTAACAAATTTGAGCGGCCGCTATATTTGATTTTTTTGGATCTGGTGCAGACATACACTGGAAGTCTTCAACTCCCTTATAGAGACGACGTCTGGGCTACTGGTATATTGTTGTACCTTTAGGAGGATAGGGCCTCCTCCTCTGATCTCTGTTTGTGCATTGCTATAGATGTCCCATAGTTGGGAAGTCAGATAGTGTAGAGTTAGAGATCACACTTATCAGATTGCTAGCAGCATGTCAAATGCTCCTATCCCTGTGGCAACTACTCAGCTCCATCTGGTGGTTGCCACTTGTAACTGCACCTACTACCCCAGTCTAGTCAGCTGCAGGATAATCAGCCTGGCTACACAACCCTCACAGCCTGGGGATTGGTTAGTTGTTCTCTATTTAAGCATAACAAGCCCAGGGCTCTGGGCTTGTGATAGTTCTGGTCTTGTTTTGCTCTGTCTACCCAATCCTGATCTTGAATTGTAGTCCTGCCTTGATCTTGAAACCTAGCCTTGCCTTGGATCTTTAATCCTGTATCTGTTTTGTTTCTTGTATCTAGTTCTGTCCAGTTTGTGTTTCCTGTTCCTGTCTTCATGTATTCTTTTTGTCTTGTACTTGACATCAGTCAGCACTTCTCCTGGATCCTGGGGGCTGCCTGCGACATCTATGGCCAGAGTGTATAGCTGAAATCCTGGGGGCTTCCGAGTACCTGTTAAGGTCCCCACACACCTTGCAATAATCGTACGATAATCGCGGGAAATCCCGCAATCGTACGATTATCGTAAGGTGTGTGGAAGCCGTGCGACCTCTACTACTGTAAGGTCGCACGACTTTTAACTTACGGACATGTTCGAAAACCCGCCGAGCATCGTACGATGTTCGGCGGGTTTGTGGCATGTTCGTACGATAAAAGCCGTACGGGCCAGTGTGCGCAAGCGCACACTGCCCGTTCGACATTGCGGTCATCGGAAGCCCGCCCCTCAGGGGGCGAGGCTTGCGATCATCGCAAGTACGATCTGCCTATGCAAGATAGGCAGATCGTACGTTTTTTTAAGTACCTTACAACCATCGCAAGACAAAAGTCTTGCGATGGTTGTAAGGTGTTTGCCCAGCCTTAAGGTGTCTATACACTGTACGATTCTCGTACGAGAATCGCGGGAAATTCCGCGATCGTACGAGAATCGTACAGTGTATGGAAGGCGTGGGACCGTTTCTACTGTACGGTCGCACGTCTTCTGTCGAACAAGCAGGCTGTATACTTTGTATGGGCACCTTAAGGCGCTTATTGCCTTATTGGAAAGGCAGCTGCTAAAGGTGAAACAACTCGCCACTATACACTCTGACCAAGGTGTCTGCACAGAGGTGCCCTGATGTGGAAGCGTGGCTTTCCTGTGTATTTTCAAATGTATGCAACTAAAACCTCTATTAAACAGGTTCATTTGATTTTTATTTTTTTTTGTGTTTTTGCTGTCTAGCTTGAAAGCGTACTGGGCGCACACATAGTGGCTACACTTCTGTAGCCTCAGACGGCATGGACCTGGCCAGTGATCTCAGCCACTTGCTCTGGTCTCACCAGCTGTCCCCTGCAGGACACTTCACTGACCGGGAGTGGTGGAACAAAGCATGGTGCACCAGTCACTCACACACTTCGAAGTATTAGGAGTCTTTTGCAGGGAGGTTTTCAATAACTTTTTTTTTAACTGTTAAAAAATTGTATGGATTGTAGGCACTATAGTTAGGAGTAAATTGCTAAGTGTGCAGTTGGTGTCCTCAACTGTGTATAGAATGGAGGGCCGTCATCAGACGGGTATGGCCGATACTCATGTAAGGGGCCCGGGCTACCTGGGGGGCACGTCCGGAACCCTTACATGAGTATCGGCCGACGGTGAAAGGCGAGGAGGCGGCCGGGCCCCCACAGCGCCGGAGGAAGCCTGGCCCTAGCAGCGCAGGGCCCCAGCATTGCCGATCCAGCGGCTTGGAGACATGCTGGGGCCCCATCAGCACCTCTGCTCGTCTAATGTTGGACCGGCTGGAAGTAACACGTCACTTCCGGCTAGTCTGGCGGCAGAGGAGGAGGCAGGCACCAGGAGCAGGTTAGAGGAGCTGGGAGAGAGGGGGAGGCAGCCCTGACCAGCCAACCTGAGACCCCTGCAGAGCCCACCATAGAGAGTCTCAGATGGGCTGTGCAGCATCTATGATGGGCTCTGCAGGGTCACTCTCAGGTGGGTCCTTTGTCCAGCGGGTCGCTAAGCCCTGAGTCCAGCGGGTCACTAAGCCCTGAGTCCATGGGGTCACTAAGCCCTGAGTCCATGGGGTCACTAAGCCCAGAGTCCATGGCCTAAAGCCGTGTAAGTGGCCCCAAAAGTTCTGATGGCTGCCGTGATAGAATGTATTTTCTTCAAATGGAAAATTGTGTCTAGATGATTTTCCTTCCTTTGTACATTTCCATTGTAGTGCATGATTGCAGAGCCCCATAGGGGCAATCTCTGTTTAATGTTGTTTTTCCTATGAGAAGGAATCTGCTTTCATGTAGATGCAGCAGGAAGTGGAAATTATAGTAGGTGATGCTACAGTTTCCATTTTCTTGATGCCTCCATGACAACATATATATGGAAGCTAGCCAGCAAAAAGTCAACAGTGAGGAGTGTGGACAGCCTTAGGGCTAACAGATAGAAGAAAACTATTAGTTGCAGACAAAGTTGATGAAACTCTTTTGTCAAATTCAGCAAAAGAAAGGTGGCAGAATCCCGTTTGTGGTGTGCCATAAAGGGGGAAGAAGTTGGTTTCCCCCTTAAATGTCAGGAAGTTAAAAAAAAAGTCTTCATAAAGACACAGAGGGGGGAATTCATCGAAACTGGAGCAGATTTGCACTGAAACCAATCAGCTTCCCTGTCTTATTTTCAAATCTTTCCTGAGCAAACTGAAAAGAGATGCTGATTGGTTGTCTTGGGCAACTGCTCCAGATTCGGTCTGCTCCAGTTTTGATAAATCCCCCTCCCCTCCCCCCCATATTTTTGTAGCCTCCTTCTGCTGTCCTGCGTGTAGGGAGTGCAGGAAATCAGAGTTGTGGCATAAAAACAGTAAAAGCTATGGTGAAAGAAAGGCTTCTTTTGCAGGTCACATCTGAGAGTTGGATTACTAACAAACGAAAGCCATACCAGGATACAGATAGAG